TAGGTTGCATTAATAGAGGTAAAGAATCAAGATCAGGTGAAGTACTAGTATCACTTTATAAAGCTCTTGGTAAGAACCACATTTAAATTATTCCATTCAGTCTTATAATGGTCATCACATTATAAAAAAGATGTAGAAACTCTGGAAAGAGTGTAGGAAAGAGCAACAAAGATGATTAGAGGATTGGACACTAAAACATGAAAAATGGCTGCAGCAATTAGGTATGTCTAGCCTAATGAAAAGAAGAACTGGGGTGACATGACAGCAGTGTTCCAATATTTGAGGGCCTGCTACAAAGAAGAAGAGGTCAATTTATTTTCCAAAGCTTCAAAAGGCAAGACAAGAACCAATGGATGGAAACTTATCAAGAAGGTAAGTAATCTAGAACTAAGGAGAAATTTCCTAACAGTGAGAACAATTAACCAGTGGAACAGCTTGTCTTCAGAAGTTGTGTGTGCTTGGACTCACTGGAGTCTTTTAAGAAGAGACTAAACAGGCACTTATTTTGAATGTCTCCTGCTTGAGTAAGGGGTTGAACTAGAAGACTTCCAAAGTCCCTTTCAACTTTGTTATTCTGCTAGATGATATAGTAATGATGGTTTGTTAAAAGAAGTAACCATGTCTGTATTAAAAGCATACTTTTGTCCAATGAGAGTTAAGTATGTGTAATAAGAATAGATTACAAAAAAAGAATGCATGCAAAACAAGAGATGGTGTTTAAAATAAATAGGTGCTGAAGGAATGTGGAATGAATATAAAAATGAATGATTGCTATGAAAGAAATAAGTTGTGGTGGCTTGTTAAATAGAAAAAATGAATGAGGATTGAATTACAAAACAAATATATGAGGAAAGAAAGCATAATGAAGAAAACCTGGAAGGCTGTTTTGATTGTAATTGTTAGTATCTTGAAAAAAGACAGAACTGGATATTTTAAACAACAAAGATAGCATATGGACCTGTATATGTAAGTGATAGAAATAATGTTTTACAAAGACATGCAATTACGAAGAAGTAAATGATAGTGGTGTACATTGTTTTTTAGTGAGAAATCTTTTTTTTTTCTTATCTCTAAATTTACTATTTTTCTTTCCTTTGCGCTTTCTACTTAAAGTTGTTTAGATTGAAATGGAATACCATGACGATTATGTATGCATATATGAAAGAAAAGTAAAAATTACAAAAAATAATGCCAACTGTTAACAGCACTAAGTGCTATATTTGAAAATGTCTTGTGTCTGGAATAGTTCTGAAGTCCATCCTTCCTCCTTCCCTCCCACCCTCCCACCTTCCCACCCTCCTTTCTTTCCAGTGCACATACATGTTTTTCATATATATATTTTTCAGTAACTTACTCAGCCAAGCATCTTGTTGAGGTCAGAAAGGTATTAAGAGTAGTTCAATTTTTTGTTGAAGAGTTGCATCTGCTTCCCAAAAGAATAATCATTTTACAACCCACAAATAATCTTTACTTTGATAATTTAGTCTTTGCAATAGCTTTTAAGCAATATTTTATTAATAGTATAATAATGCACTGCCAAATGCATCTCATAATCTAATGGCATACTATCTTTTAAAAATGAAATATGAAAACATCTTTTTGCACTCATCTTAAAGCTGTTATTATTTTGATTGATGTACTGCCTTCCTGCAATCATTTTGCAATACTCAGTAATGTGCTTGGCAACTGGCTCACAATGATGCTTGTTGCAGCAACCCATGATCATGTGATTGACATTTGAAACCTCCCTGCTGGCTTCCCACAAGTAAAGTAAAGGGGAATCTAGCAGGAGATTACACATCGTCATTTCCATTTACACTGCTTTTCATCCACTGCTTTTTTCATGCCCAAATTACATATTTTATGGCACCTGCCCATGATGTCTGCCTACCTCCCCATCCCTAGCTCTTGCCTAGGAATCTTGTCTATTATCACATCACAATCCTGTGACATCTTTGCTTAATCATCTGGGAATCCTGGAGTTATGATAGCAACTGGGACTGTGGGAGTGTTATCTCTAAGTTATATGGTCACATGACATCATATTATGAATGTATTGCTTAGCAAAGGGAATTATGGCCTCTATATTATTTTGCTTTATTGTAGATTTTTATAAATCTTATAAATGTTCAGCTAATAAGTACTTTTTCTTTCTAAGATATGGAAATGATTTTAAGGCAGTCTTTCCCAGCACGATATCCTCTAGATATTTTGGATTATATTGCCCATCTCATCAATCCAAGCAAAAGTGGACAATATTGTGGCATAGTGAAACTATAAAACCTTGGAAGACACCAAATATTAATCAGAAATAGTCTGTGCCTTGAACTCTGGTTATGTTAGGCGGGAAGGATGCACCAGTCTTTATCATAAATGGTACTAATTGAATTTAATCAACAGTTAAGAAAAGGAGACTTGTAGATAATCTTTTATATGTTTTGAAACATAAAAGAAAGCTCAGAAATGGAAAACAGAATCTAGATTTTCACAATAGACAAGGCAAGCAATTTTGATTAATAATAATTTGAACTTTGGTAATATGATGTTCAGCTGACTATCTAAAAATGGCTTACAAAAGGAGTATAACATTATAGACAATTTTTCAATAAAGTTTTCCAAATGCCATTTTTTTCTAGTTTTAAATCCCAAATTAGTTAAACTTGGAGTACACTCATTGAAATTACTGGAATTTGTTGATTATAAATATTTTAAGTTACACAAGTGTCAATGTATCTATCCAATCATCACTAATACAGATCTCATCCATAGTCTTCCTGGTGTCAGATAAATACTTTAAAAAATCATGTAAAAATAATGCATGATTTTTGTGCCCCGTGTCTTGTTTTTCTTAGTTATTTTAGCAGGTTTTAGTATTATGTTTTTAGTATCCTGTTGCTCTATTTAATGATATAGCCCTTCAGTAGCTTGCCAAGTAATTTCTATAGTTGGATATCTGAATCAATAAATAAAAGAATACAGAAATTTAACAAGAATTCCTGACATAGTCCTAGCAATTGGGAGGGAGGGAGAAAATAGCATATTTAGAAATTAGAAAAACTGAAGGCAAGAAAGGTGATGTACTCTCACAGCATCAGTTTGAATAAGCAAAGGACATATTTTGTACTAAGTATTGCTATGACATTTTGGAAATAAGAGAATTCCCTACAACAGATTGTGCAAAGAAGCTCTTAGTCTCTTTACTGGTAACATTTCTGGACTGGACAGAGTATTATGTAGATTTCCCAGTCTTTTCTATGTTAATTTTTCTCCAGCAGCCCAAAGGCCTTCAGATAATGCTGTGAGTAACATGATTGCCTATTGTGTCATGCTGAGAAATGATGATTCATATTGCCTAGTGCCAAATTAGTCCGTGATGCCAAGAGCTCTTGGTAATCATTGTAAATAGCTGACAGTTGGATAATTGCCTTCTTTGCAGTTCACTCCATCTGATCCTTTGAAATCTGTGCTATGGGTTCTGTTAACTACTGTGATGTAGAAATGAGCATATGGGAACTAAAAAGAGGAAATTAATTACTCTTCAATTATTTGTAGTATTTGTTAAAATGTAGGAAACATGCAACCAATGAATGTAGCCAGGTTCAGCTATTGAAGTATTATAATGGTGTAAACTAGCAATTGTCAGGTGTTCATTAATATCAACATACATAGGATTCTTAGGTAGATCAATGCTTAATCATTCCTAACCTAGAGTGAGAGTCGAAAGCCTGAGAAAATATCTTAAGTTAGCTACAAACTGGAGTAAATCTATGTCTTGTCATAATTGAGGAATCTTAATCTTAACTTTGTGGTCTTCTGCTAATGATGAATTTACATCCATAAAGCTTTTGGCATGTATCCAAAGAGTTATTTCTAAAGATCTTCACCTGGGCCATAGCCAACTTCTGGGTTTTGAGCCATTTGGAATGGGGCCACAGAAGTCATGGGTGAGTGCATGAGCGGTGACTATTGTGGGGGCATGTGCTCCATTTGTGCAAGTGGTGGACATGGAACTATCCCCTTTAACCCCTGTCCCTGCTGGTACACAAAGCTGGAAAGTTTGGCAAGCTCTGTTGTATAGCCATTCTTGGCAGTTAGGTTATGCTTATAAGAGAGCTGATGTTGAGCAAAAAATAAAACAAGTATGAACTTGTCTTTCTAAAATTAATATGTGTAATAAATGCAATTGAAATAGCAATCCTAAAATATATTTAGGTCCAATGTGACTATATTTATTTATTATGTAGTTTTATTTTATATCCAGTTCCTCTCATAGGACATTCAAAATAGCTCATTCTCATATATTGTTATAAATTGATTAAAAATTCTATACATTTGCCACTACTAATAAATAATTGTGTTTCACATAAAAGCCTGAAATGAGTATTAATAATTTCCTACAAGTAGGATAATGACAGCTGGGTTTTTAAAAATGTTCAGCTGAATTTATGAGATTGACTAAGATCTGGCAGCCATGTTTGATTTTAAATTTGTGGAGCTTAACTGTAGTTAAAATATGTGGAGAAAAATATAAGATTGCCCAATGAAGGCTGAAAAAACTTGAAGGCTAGAGAGATCTTTGTGATTGTTGGGAGGGAGTGATGGAGGGAATGAAATAACATTATCCTAGACAGAGGTATGGCTGACTGCCTGAAATCCTGAACAGAAGTGTCTGTGCTGCAGCATTAATTTTCTTAATGGTAAAAGCAGATGATTTTCTTAACTGATTAATGTTCCATGTTCTACTAAATAAACAATCCATAATGTTCTTTTCATCCTTCTGACTGTACCAAAGAAAAGGAACTCAAATAACTTAAAATGCTTCAGTAAAGTTTAACTATTTTGTATCCCAGTTTAATGTGTGCAAATTAATGTAAACTACTAATTTCTATATTCACATAAGCTAAACCTACAATCATTAATTAGTATATATTTTATCCAGTAGGAGATTATTTCATAGTGCTTTAAAAATTATTTGTTCTTTATGTCCTTTCTCCTTCCAGGTCATCAGTTTCTTCCAATTGCAGCACAGGATCTTCCATTTGTTTCAGTGTCTGGATATTTGGAAAAGCGTAGAAAAGGTAAACTAAAAAGATAGAAAGAATGTTTTAAATTTTTATAGTAGTTGCAATCATTTTATTTCTGGAGGCAAATGATTCACTTACTTTGGAAAATATTGAAAGATTTTAACCATAAAGTATAGGTGGAAATATAATGAACATTTTCTACTAGGAGTACAGCTTCAGTATATCTGAGCAGTGTGGACAAGAGAAGTTGGTTGTTTCTGTTTTAATCCCTTGCCACATAATTCAGGGATAATCAAAGTTTTGGCCAGTAGGAGGAGGTGTTGCCACCACATAAGGTAAGAGCGGCTGGCGGCGCTGAAAGCCAGGCTGAGTGGGGCAAGTGACCTGGTGCTCCCCAAGAGGGGTGGGCCTGCTTGTGCCCAGAGCGTTGGTCAAAGGGTGGTGTGCCAGCAGCAGGCTGGGCAGCTCGCTCCTCCACAATCCTGCTGGAGGTGTCTCTGCTGAGCCCTGCTCTGGCTGCCTGAGGGGAGGCAGATGGAGTCCGTTTTAAGGTCAGTTCCCACGCCCTTGCCGAGACTGCAGCAGGAGAGGGGGGAGCCGGTGCCCTTTGCGCAGATGGGAAAGCGGAGTCACCCGCCTCTTGGTGCAGCCCATCTTTCCTGCGCAAGAGCTCCGGGCTGCCCGACCGAAGCAGCACATTTTGTGGCGTTCTTGCTGGGGAAAGTGGGCTGTTGATCCGGATGAGAAACTGGGCTTTGGGGCATCGGTAGACTAAAAGGCGCCAAAGAGTTGGAGACTTGGCATTAAGATTTTCCTGCAAAAAAATAAATAATTCCAGATGAGTTCCTGGGATAAGGAGAAGGACTTAAGGCTAGATTCCTAGGCTAAGCAAGACTGTGTGTGGGATAAGTTCAGCAAGTTCCCCCCCTCCGCCCTTCCCCCCCATGTCTTTTCACCTCATGTTAAATAGGCCCAAATTTTGGAGGCAGGGCTTAATTTAACGACATGTGCACAAAGCAGTGCTGGGCCTTCCTATGGGGAGAAACACTGTAGAAATCACAACTTACTTTGTACTCAGTACAAGATATCCTTAAACATTTCAATGTCTATCTAAGATCTGTTTGAAATTGTGAGAGAAATGTATCTGGGGGCAGTTGCCAAATCTGGTGAAGAATAACTTACTTTTGGCACTCGTTTATATTCACATTTGCACCAGAATATATCTTTTCTATTGCACTCCCTGAATTGTTTATTTTGGTCTGTTTATAATTAAAAATCTATGTAAATTATTTTAATTGCAGATCACAGTTTTCTTGTTTTTGAGTGGCAAAAACGTTGGTGTGCTTTGAGTAAAACAGTCTTCTACTACTATGGAAGTGACAAAGGTATTGCAAAATATAGGGACTATTTTGAACTTAATTGATATTAACAGTTAACTTGTATTGCAAAATATAGGGGTTATCTTGAATGTTGCTTAATGGACATCAACAATTAAGTGTTTACAGGCCTCAAAGGCCTCTCTATTGTTTAATTGCAAACCGGATTTTCCCGGTTTCATATAATTCTCCATGTGTTTCCAGATGGTGTAAATATACTGTCTTGATGAAATGTTCTCTTATCTTCTTTCCTTTGGAATTTTATGTGGGCCATTTTTTCTGAACTTTAATCAGCTTTCAAGGTGATAATACAGCATTATTTTGGTTTAGTTTCGTTTGGTAATTCTTCCTTCTCCCACCATCACCATCCCAAATATGATTTCAGTATTTTGGATCTGTTAAATGTCATCAGGTTTCATTTGCTTTCAGCTTGTATAGGAGAAACCACTACAAGACATTCTGTATTGCTGTATAGATTTATAGTTAAGGTTTATTTCATTCCATAGTAAAACATTATTTTTTTTACGAAAATCCAGGTGATGTATCATATAGCTGTACAATCTGGTAAGAAAATGTTTTGGAATGATACGTATAAGCTGTCCGATGTCAAAGGAATCAAAGGAAAATTTATTTGCTTATGGCAGTTTAAAATCTGGATGCTACTGAAAACTTCAAAACAGTTGAAATTTGTGTTACAAATACAATGTGGCAGGGTTCATCAGGGAGCACAATAGATGCTTTCCTTAGCTTACTATAGTTGTTTAGTTTCTTCCCCAACTCCAATTTTCTGCCATTCACGATTTAATACTTAATAATTAAGGACAGCACTGGAATCCACATAACTTCAATACTGTTACAGCCATTTCAAGTCCCAGGATGTCAGACAAATAAATCAGTAACATTTCTTTATAAGCCATAGGAATTTGGACCATCCTCAGGGATAATCTTGGAAAAAGCAACATCCAACAGTTTATAGAAATTTATTGCTGGTAGATACTGTCCATTTTTGTAGTTTCATAGTTCCTTTACTTAGGAACACTGTTTTGAGCCTGTTCTACACCACAGTGAGAAAGTGAAAGAGAATCAGAACAATTACGTTATATCAGGGATCTCCCCAGTCCCTGGGCCACAGATGGGTACTGGTCCATTGCCTATTAGGAGCGGGGTCTCACAGTGGAAGTGAGTGGCAGACAAGTAATTGAAACCAAAACTATTCCCCTGCTCCCTGATCCAAACAAAAATTGTCTTCCATGGCACCAGGGAATTGAAACCGTCCCCTGGTGCCACAATGGTTGGGGACTGCTGGTTTACAGCATATATCACCTCCTGTTATAATTTCCCCTTTTATCTCCTTAATGAGTGGACAGGCTGGTTAACTAGGGCTAAGATAGACTTTTTGAGATAGCTTAATTCATGATGACTGAAGGAGAAGGGTAAGAACAACGTAATATATTGGTTTGTCTGGTTGATTTCATCCTTCTTGCCATAAATTTCTGTTATGGATCATGGGAACAATTAAACTAAAAGCAAGTGCAGCATGTTTAATGTCAAAACTCACTTCAGAAAATGTATACAATTAGTGAAGTCTCCACGTACTTTTTCCATGTGGTTTAGAATATTATCAAATTTGTAAGAAATGTACTCCAAATTATTAAGAGACTATCAGATCACTCAGAAAACTGAAACTTGGTTTAGCAACTGTTCAACATATATTTCTTTGGAGTACTTGATATATCTGTAATGGGACCTTCAGCACATAAGAGTCAAAATGAATTGCCAATGAGGATTCGAAACTTAACCAATACATACACAACAAAGAATATATCAAACTTAAATACAAAGATTTTTTTAAAAACTAAAGAAAATACATCAAAGAAAAAGAAAAAATGCAGAAAGTAAAAAAAAGGGAAACTTTCAGATAGATTTGAAATAATAGTTTAATAATAGTTTAATTATGATAAAAATTACAAGAGTGTAATAAGAATCTTTCCTATGGGGAAATGCTTTGGTTTTGAATTCTTTTTTAACAAATGATAGGATGATATATTAAAGTTTGGACACTAAAGTTAACCATAAGGAACTAAATATTACAATTAAAGGAGAAAAACACTTACATTTGACTTACTAATACTGAGGGAAGCAAAATATTTTAATATTGGACATATCAAAGGATATTTTTTAACCATGGATTCAAAAAATAATAGTATCTACCTCTATAGATAAATTGTGTTTAAAAGATGTTATGAAAGAAGAACAAATTTTACTCGACAAGATTGAGATTCATTTGAAAGTGAACTTAAAAATGACAGCCCACAAGAATGATATGGAATGATATGGAAAAAGATGCTGTACTAGAGAAACAAAACAAATCAGCTCATATCTTTTTTTTTTTTTTTTTTTAAAACAAGTTTTATTAAAAGTTTCAACAACAAACAAATCATTACATATTAAGTCTTTCCCTGTCTTTCTACAATAATTTCCCCAATATTCTCATAAAACACAAACAAACACAAACAAACATAAAAAAAAAATCTTTTAGTAAAGTACCTTGGCCCCAGTTACCTCTCTTTGCATGGGCTAAAATAATAGCACATATCACTCTTCACATTTCTATCTTATTTAATCCATCTTAATTAAATCATTAAATTTGTATCTTTTGCCCATTCATTTATCTCTCTATCTCTTCTTATAATAAAAAAAAATTTCTCCTGAAATCACTAATCAGAGTATGATGCCTTTCTATCCTCCCCCTAAGTTAGTAAAATTAACATTCAGCATAACAAATACCCAATTTGGTTCTGCTTGGTACATTCTATCCACCAAAAATGTTTAAATACATTGTATCCTCCTTTCCTTCGATATTTTATTACATTTTAAAAATCAATCATTATTAAAAACTTCAACATTTTAATTTCTTATTAAATCTTAAACCATTCTAATTTACTATTTCAAATATAAATGTTACAATACCATCTTCTGTACCTTAGCAGAATCTTTCTTACAGAAAATTATATTTCATCCTTTGTCTCTAAAAAAAATCCCTCTTCTCCCATCCAATTTTAAAGCTTTGAGGCTTTTCTCCGCCTTTCCCCTTTCTTTCTTCCCCCACCAAATCTTCCTACCCCCCCTTCTTCTTCTAACCTCTACCTTGCTGGGATCCCTTCTCTGTTGTGTTCCCTTTTTCTCTTGTTTGTTATCATTATATTTACTTTGAATCATATTTTTCTCTTTCTCAAATGTTTTTTTAGATCTTAAGTCCTTCATTTTCCTTGCTCTCTTCCTTCCTTCTTCCTTAGATAAGTTTTGGGATTCAATGAAGATGGCGTCTTCGTCTCTTCCTTGTTGTTCTTCTTCCGTTTCCATCTGTTCCATTGTCTGTTGGTAATTGACCAGCGCCATTTCTAGAAATAGAAAAGCTTTTTCCATGCCATCTTTGCAGGTTGCTTTTGTTTGCTCATATTCATCCCTCAGGTCTTCAAAAAGGAAAGCCATTATAAATAGATCTTTTCTTTTCTTTATTCCTCTTTCTTCTTACACCAACCAAATATTCCGAGAGAAAGGCAAAACAATCCCAAAATCCACAATCCTCAATAAATCCAAGCAAGCCAAAATTCCCCCTTCCTCTTCCAGGGGTGGTATCAAACAAATAAAAAAAAAAGAATCCAAGTCTATATTTTAAAGCCTTATTAAGATTGTATTTCTGTCCTCAAGTCTTCAAGGCATCTCCTCCAACAAGATCCAAATTTATATATTTTCTTTATCCTCTCCCTTCCGGCTTAATTCCGTCGGGAGGGAGAGTAAACTTTCCCTTCAGCACCTCAAAATAGCCGCTTTTTTTTCTCTTGTGGAAGAAATCATCAGAAAACCATCTTTTCCAGGAATTAAATTAGATAAATCTCAAAGCCCTGGGTCGACCAAGAAGAACTTTTACTTTCAATAACTTTCTCTTCTTCCTCCTGCGCATACTTGCCCGGCTGTCAACTTCTTTGTGGCGGCCATTACGGACCGCCGCTGCACCGTCCTGGTAACAGGGGGTTCTGCCGGCCAGGGAGGGGGTCTGCAACACCCCCAAACCCTTCCTCCGGATCCCCCTTACCTTCAGCTACCCCTGCAGGGCAGCCTTGCTCCGCACCCGTCCGGGTCGGAGCCCCAAAACGGCTAGCGCGGCAGGGATCGCGCAGCTTCGCGAATCCCTACCGCTCGCGAAGCCGACAAACCGGAAACTCCAAATCAGCTCATATCTTAATAATTAAAAGGGTTATACAAGGAACAAGCCAAGAGAATTACTTGGATAATTTTCCTATACTGAATTTATAAAAGAGACTTGGTAAATCTTTGAAACATTTTCTAAGGAAAAGAAAAAAATGAAAAGAAATCAAGATTGAGGACATTATTTGAAGGGACTAAAATAAAAGGAAGGAATATAAACTTGATTCATTTGATCAAGGTTAAAATATATTGACTTTTGCTGATCAGGATTGAAACAACTCTTTGAGGATTGTTTATAGATAAGCAATATAAAAGACAAGATCAATTGACTGTATTCTATGAGATGATAAATTATTAAACTTGTTTATGCTTGTTGATAAAGGGCAAAATGTATAAAGAAGTCATTTCTTTATACATTTCTTTGTTCTTTATTATGCTTATATTTTTTATTTCTTTTTTATTTCTATTTTTTCTTTTCTGCAGTTTTGTTTTTTCTTTTGATTCTTTTTTCAGTTTGCATTAGTTTGTTTATTTTTTATTTTTTGTAAATTTTATTTGAGTTTTCACAAATAAAAAAATACAAATAAAACATCTTTTTTGAAAGCAGCATAATCCCGGGTTACATTTCTTCGTACAGACACAAATTCAGGTTCATGCTCATTTTTATATTCTATTCCATATCTTATTACTATTTTACATTTTCTGCATAGCTTCGCCCCTCTTTTAATTTTCTCAATTTTATTTTAATTATCTCATCTCAATTCAAATCATTGTATTTATATTTTTTGTCTGTCCTGTTTCAATTATCTATTATCTTTTCTTATTAAACAAAATTTCTCCTGTAGTTACTGATTGGAGTATGACGCCTTTATATCTTTTCCCTAAAGTTGTAACATTCAATATAATACATAACTTTCATTTGGATTCTGCTTGGTACATTCTTAAAATACACACTGTATTCTTAAAAAAAGAAAAAAATTATAAATGTATATAATTAAAACAACATTCCATTCCAAATCAATTCTTCATTAATATTAATATTCATTAAAGTCTTAACATCTTTAACATTACTTTTCAATTAAATATCATACTTCTATGGGAACAATTATAAGCTTTCCATAGTTAATTCCCCCCCCTTCACTTATATTTTATAAAACATTAACTAATTAAAATGTTCCTGTTCCTTCCTAATTCAATTTTCTCATTTATTTTATTTCACTTATTTTATTCACAAACATTTTACACTATTTTATCCCTCATTTTAATCATACGTTGTTTCCAATTTTCTAAAGTTATTTCTATTACTAATATAACAATACAATCTTATGTACCTTTACAGAATCCCTTTTTCAGTTAGATTTTCATCCATTATCTCTAAATAGGTCCTGTTTCTCTATATCTTGCTCCGGTCCTTTGTAACTTCTTTTCCTTTCCTTCTTCCCTCTCTTCTTCTCTCTCCCCTTTTTACCTCCTTGTCTCTCTACCTCTATTTCTCTCTTCTGTATTCCCCTTTTCTGTTGCTTTCCAGTATTATACTTATTTTTTGAATTATTTTTCTTTTCTTTGGTTGTTTTTTTAAGTCTTAAATTCTCCATTCTCTTTCCCCCCTTTCCTTTTTCTTCCCCACATAAAATTGCTTGTTCATTAAAGATGGCTTCTTCTTTGTCCCAGTGTTCTTGTTTTGCAGTCTTTTCTTGTTGTTTCTCATAGTTCCAAATCTCCATTTCTAAGAATTGAAAAACGAAGCCAAAAGAACCCTTCCCTTCTTGTGCATCTTCTTTGTACTTTTTAAGTTCCATTTTCAATTCATCCAGAAGTGGTGCCATTGTATAAATTTTTAAACAACCACCCGATTGATTTTATTCATTCAAATATAATAACCAAAAATCCAAAGATCACCAAGTAATCCAAATACACGCAAGCTGTTTCTTTTTTGCTCTTTTTTTTAATTTTTTCTTCCTGGGGTTACTATTTAGTTGCAAAGTTTCAGTTAAAATGTATCTTTTAGAAGTCTTCTTGAAGTTTTATTTTAGGTTCTTTTTAATTCCAGGCAGTCTCCTCCCTCTTCCAGATTCTGCCCTTATTCTTTTTCTCTCCCTTCCTGCTTATGAAAAAGAAAGTTTTTAATGTCCAGAAATCTTTATTATCCCTTTGACATTTTGTTTTATTTTCAGCTTAATTGCCTATTGATGTCAAAGAGGATTTTTCCTATTTCTTATTTAAATCTCTTAGTTGTCAGTATAGGGAAGGAGAGAGAAGGGAAAAAAAAAGCCAAACCTTTCCCTTTTCACTTTCCTTTGCTGCTTCCGACTCTTCTTTGGGAGCGATGTTATTTTTTGTAAGTCTAAATTCCAGGGTACCTTGGTTGTTGCTTTTACAATTTAACCCGGTCAGCCAAAACTTTCATTTCTTATCTTCCTCCTGCACATTCTTTTCCGGTCGAGTTCTTCTTTGTGGTGGCCATTTCTGACCACCACTGCAACCGCCTTTGGGAAAGGGAGTAATGGCCAGCTGAGGAGGAGAGATGCAGCTCTCCTCGACCCTGCTGGCAGTCTCCCCCTCTTCACCACCTCTACGGGGTGGCTTAGCCCCGAAACCAGCCAGCTCGGGGCGCTCCAGCGGCAAGCCCAGACAGAAACCATGCATGATCGCGGATTTCTGTCTGTCGCTGAAGTCCTTCAAACCGGAAGTTTCAGTTTGCATTAGTTTTTTGATCTTCGCAATTATAAAACTCTTGTTTAAAAATGAGTTTTTAAAACTCTCTTTGCCAATACACATTGAACAAACAACATAATAAACCTTTAGCTATAGCTTTTCCATAGTCCATTGCTTTAATCACTATGTGAAAACACCTTTACAAATATTGTTAACTGATCTGAAGTTCACTTTTTGAATTCCGATATTGGGACAGATATAACTTCCTTTGTTGGCCCATTGATTACTGAACCAAGAAGAGACACTTAATTTATGAAATACTTGTATTGCAAGTTCCAGGTTCCATTTCTTAATTCTGTCCCTTCCGCGAGGTATCAGTGTGTGCATTTCACGCTAAATAAGACCATCTGTAAGGATCATCCTGTGGGATTCTATAACCAGCCTTTTCAGAAATGTTCTTTGTAGTTTCTTCTTAAAAAAGAGTTTTATCTTTCAACCATCACTAAATCCACTCACAATAATGTTTAACCTAGCCTCTTGAATATTCATGAAACAAAAAAACAAAATCTGAATAAATGATAACCTGATAGGGCATTTATTTTCAAATGAAATTCTATCTTTACTTTTCATCTACAACAGACAAACAACAGAAAGGTGAATTCGCTATAGATGGCTACACCGTCAGAATGAATAATACCCTTCGGAAAGACGGAAAGAAAGATTGCTGTTTTGAAATCGCTGCTCCTGATAAACGCATTTATCAGGTTGGAGTTTTTATGTTGTCTTGAAATTAAATTGATAAAACTGTTACTGTTCCAGTTATGGAGACATTAACATTTTGGTAAAACATTCCCTGACATGTTGGAAAAAGAGCTGGAGTAGGAGTGGGGGTGGAATCCTTTATTTTCTTACCTTGTACATTCATATAATAGATTTTGCAAAAAGATTGTTCTAATATTAAATTTTTCGATAAGAACACTCATATGTCATACTTATCTGCTGGCTCATTTTACTGCTTACATTTAAATATCTATTATCTAATAAAATTTGTCTGATTTCTTGGATGAATAATGTTGTAAAATAATTGAATATAAATTCTTCAATGTTAAATATGTAGTGCATTGCTTAGAGGCCTAAGAGGGAAATCAAAGTTAAAAGTATGCAATGTGAGACCTATCAGCTAGGCATCAATGTGAAATGTAAGTTTAATAAGTTTTAAATATCTGAGATTGCAGTTGAAAGCCAGTTAATTAAGTTGTCAGGTACTGTGTTGGAATGTGACAAGAACATTTTTAAGAAAACTGTACCCAGCAGTCTAAAGAAATTCATGGGTGTCTTCTAATTGTCAAGGGCAAATTTTGTTCATCAGTCCTGGTTTTGACATTGATGAAGAGAAGCAGCTTTTTTTATGCACAGCTGCCAGCTGCTGATCAGAGTTCTAAATCCATCATCCTCTGCTTCAATTACGTAAATTTGTCAAAATTAACTGTACATTATAAGAAGCATCCTTGCAAGAAAAGTACCAGAAGACATGTAAAGAATTACTAATGTTGTCTTGAAGAAGTGACCAGAATGCTACTTTCTTGGCTTTATTAATATAGTGCTAGTTATATTTTGATGCTCATGAATATTCTTCTCTAACATGAAGTTTCTGAACAGTTTACAGCTGCTACTCCCAAAGAAGCTGCAGAATGGGTAGAAAGGCTGAAATTTGTATTACAAGGTATGCCAGTTGCTAACAAGACACTTCGCCTAAAATGCATGTTATATATCAAAGTTTCCCTGTTTCTGTTGGTCATGTGATTACTATGTTGTCTTTAATAGTACATTTTATTTTTCATCTGTGTATATTTATTAATCCTCTCTATATTTAGGAGTAAATGCCATTGTACCTAGTTGACTCCCCTTCCAAAAAAGCTAATTTAAATGCTAGTAGTGATTGTATGTGAATTGTTTAATAAATACAGTTAGAAAGAATGTATTGTATTACTTTGATATGAAAATGGAAGGAAGTGAGTATGTCTTTTGCCCTAGAGAGTTCCTTGTGAACCTACCTGGCTAGGTTGATTGAATATCTTTTTTGTGTTTTGCATTTTTAACAGACATGGGATCTCCAACTATTCCAGAGGAGGAATATGATGACATTGAGGAAAATTCCATACCTGCTTCTCAATCAGGAGTAGCAACTATTTTTGATGACATTTATGAAGAGCTTCCAGGTATTTTTGTTCAAGTTGATTGAAAGGGCTGTAAAAGTTGCTGATTATTCTTTGGTGGTAGCAGGTAGAATTTAAACAGATCACTAATCTGGTGCCTTCCAGGCATATATTGACTAGCTGGGAATTCTGGGAAATGGAATGCCAAAATTTAGAGGATGTAAGGTTGGAAAAGGTTTTCTCTTAGATATGGGGAACTGTATGTAAATCCTACCTCTTGGACAAAGTAATATACCTCTGCCTCAATTCTGTATAACATTTGAATCCAGATATTTGTAATATTTAGAGTAACAGTAGTAACAATATTTTAAAATAAAATGTTCATATAAGGGTATTGACATTACACAGAAATTATAAAAAACATAAGATTATTGACTCAATAATTTTTCAGTCAGAAAATTGATTCACATATTGCCTGAGACTAACTGCTTTATTTGGTCTTTTTTAATTTAGTATATAGTTTTTAATCATATATTCTTCATTCTTTCTATAAATATTCCTTGATACATGAGATTATGCTTTTAAAGGAGCGACGGTAACTTGCTTTGTTTGCTTTTAAAGAGTATCTGCTGATGAATAATAAATAAACGCAGTGAGCTGTACTTGAATTTTTCTACATCCATCTACAGAAATTTGATTATTCCAAGTGGTTTACTAATTTTTTTATTCCATCTAGTTATGGCCAAGATTTCTCCTTCTTGACAGCCAAATGTAAATCTCATAAAAATATTCTTTATGGCACAAAGAGATGAAATTCATTGTGGTGAAAACAAAATGGCAAGAGGGGGTTCATAAGGGTATAAAATCACATGGAAATGAGGTTTCTCACTTGAGGTTGTATAGAAATGAGATCTGAAATAGAGAACTAAAGCATTTCTATACTAAATGTAATAGGAATGAAAACTGTAGTCTATGAAAGCACTGGTGTTATCAATCAGAAGCTAAGTGATACAGTATAAATTACATAATGCATGTTTACATAGTAGATATTTCCAATCTTTGGAAAATGTAGTTTGTATTAAATTTAGCACACTGTATAAGAAAAGGCATTGTTTTTGACAGATGGCTTTAGGAAGCTATATACATTTTGGACTATTCTATAACAGTTCAGTTTGTAGCTTATGAAGACATGTCAGTCAAGGGATGTACAAATTACATGATGCAGGACAAAATTGGAGGAGAGAGGCCATGTGTTCTTGTGGTTCCCCTTCTGGAATTAAGAATTGGCATTCTTTTATGTAGGCAAATATTACCAACTTATTTGCTTATTCAAGGTTTTCTTTTTTCCTTCTATTCATTCCCATTTCTCAGAGACTACCTGGACAGTCCTCGCATTTTTGTTGACAAGATTTTTCAGAAGTAATTTGCTATTGCTTCTTTCCAAAGGCTCAGAGAAAGTGACTAGTCACCCAGCTGACTTTGTGCCTAAAGTAGGATTGGAAATCACTGTTGCCTGATTTCTAGCCTGTTGCCTTAGCTACTATCCCAAACTGGCTCTCAATTCAATTTGATATTGAAGTTGCAATTCCATGACACTCTCCCAGTAAATCCCGTGATATTTAACGCAGATTTATACCTGTGTAGATATATATTGGATGTTTTATAAGTCTCTTGATGAGAAGCATGGAGCTGATTATGGAGCTGATTATGTGAAGTAGAGACTAAACTATTGATTTCTTTTATCCCTTAAATAATCCTATTTTCCCAATTGTAAGGCATAACTAATGATGTTTATGCTATAAATGTCTTTCTATTAATTTATATCCCCAATAGTATGGGAGTCTACTGTCTTTGGTACAAGTCCCTTGCTTTTCCTTGTGCACTTTACTATTAGTAATTTTGCAAACAGACTATCATTGGTTATGTTATATTTTGCTTCATTTTCTGACAACTAACAGCAAACTACATGTAGATCCTTTCAAGCCTAATTTGGTTGTGAAGAATTTGCTACCTCCAGAGAATTTCTACTTCGTAAAGTGCACTGCACACCCAGCCTCCTTAATGTTAAAACAAGCAGTGGAATTCCTTAAGGGAAATTAAGAAGTAATTTAGGTTGGGATGTGATTGCATTGATGTATAAGAATTGCACAGACGTGCAATACCAAAGCACAGTTACTAATCTACACCTATACACTGCAATGCAGTCCAAGATTGTGAAACTACATATTTCTAGTATCACCCTGGGACATTGGGCTTTACTGAATTTAATCAGGTGTTTGCTGCAGTATCGGTTTTAGTGCTTTACAACTGGCCCAGATCCAAAAACAAAAAAACCCACATGTAACTAATTCTGCACACATAAGAGATCCCTGTTCCTTTCCCTCTTAAACAGCAGCTTTACCCTCAATATCAATTTTAATAGAAGAAAGTTCCAGAAGAAGTCACTGATATGGCTTATGAGAAATAGCATGGCTTTTCAAAGGCACCTCAAGCCCCTGGGTGTACTTAAGCATGTCTCTTCCATCTAATGTAGGTAGCACACTATTTCAAGTATAAAAAGAGATTATTTATTGTAGGAAGTATTCATAAAAATGCAGTTTTTATTTGTAGCAATGCATATAAGATCTCAACATGCTTTAGAACTCTTGTTCAAATAACACAGAAATTGTTTTCCTTCATTACAGATTAAATCAAATAAGATATACTCTGGGTTTATCTAAGTGATACAGAGCTCAGCTAGTATAATCTGCCATATGCTTGGAGAGAGCCCTTTAAGCTCTCTTCTTCAGAAATTTCCCAGGGAATATTACTTCACTGTTCATACTGACCTTTGCAAGATTTCAGACCCAAACCCGAAATGTCAGCAGTAATTGGACATTGGTATCCGTCACAAGTGTAATAAAACTTGCGACATTTGCAACTTAAGTTCATAAGCATGTTTGGCTCCTGAGCCTTTTGTGCCTGGCAAATCTAGTGTATATCATTGCCAAAAGCAAGAGCTTTTGGGTGAGGTTGGTATAACAAGCCACAGCTCAGGCCTACTTTCTAAAACTTAAAGAATGAGAAGGCAAACAGCTGTCCATTACTACACAGTTTTGGTTATTTTTTTATAAGCATAAGATGACATGTTTCCTTTATTTACATTTGGGTCCAATAATGTTGGCATCATGCTCTACATGGAAGCAATGCAAAGAACATGATGTAAGGACAGAGGGAGAGGAAGATAGGACATGGATAAATATTTTTTTCCAACCTACATACATTCTTGGAATGCTGTTTGGACAAAATTGTCTTAAGTACAATTTATTCACATACAGGCTTATCAACAGTAGCCTTTTTTACTTCGTTATATTACTTTTATGACTTGCAGTCTGATACCCTGAAAAGCATTTGAAATTGTGGCAGGAACATATATTGCAGCAGCTTCATCTTAAGTTAGAGATGATTTTGGAATAAAATACTTCATTTGGCCAAGTATGATTAGAGACACAAAAATTGTCTCTGATGCAGAAGCTCTCAATTTACCTGCAAAATAACATGTAGTAATAATCATAATATTTATACCAAAAAGAGAAAGTGGTAGAAAATATGAGAAGGATAATAATAATACAGCCAGACTACATAGGCAAGTATACGTAAGACAGGACTGTGGGAATTGGGTGTTTAGCAGAGTGATAGTATGATGGAAAAAACTGTCTTTGTGTCTAGCTGTTTGGCATCCGTGCCCTGCAGTGGCATCCTAAGAGGAAGAGCTAAAACAGTGGATGTCCAGGATGTGGCCAATGGTATTTTTCAGGATTTTCCACACATTTGCTGGTTCATTTGCTGAGAACTGATCCCTAAGCTTCTCTTTGCTGCACAGATCTGCTTTGTTAATACACCTGGCCTGTTGTAAAAACAAATATACACCTTGGTACTCATTGTTAATTCATTCCAGAAGGGGCAATGAGTACCAAATGAGATGAGTAACGGACAATTTTTTCTCATAAGGAATAACAGAGTGAGTCACAAGGCAGCTGACACTTACAAGCAGTAGCTTGTGAGCTGAGTATCAAACGATGAGTACTGGGACAATTTTTTTTGTCAAAATGCATTGAGTACCAAATTTGATGATTTTCAAAGTAATCGAATACCCAAGGTACCACTATAAAAGAAACTGAAGCAACTTTGGGAACAAACTACTCTTATGTTGTTCATGTTGTCTGAATTATAAAAGGGAAAGTAATTTTATTTAAAAAAAAAAAGATTTTTAAAATGATTTTTTAATAAAACCAGGTGATATTTTAGTAAGTAGTGCAATTTTGTGTTTGATTTAAAGTTATGTGCAGAAGTTACAGTTCTCCTAAAACTTTCAAGATCCCTCACCATTCGTTGCACTGGCTAAATGGGATTTGGTCTCCTTAAATCTTCTGAAGAATTTTTATTCTCTGTTATAACACAATGTTAAATTAGAAATTATTTTGGATTGTGCTGTTTAACTTTGAAGCAATCTGTCATGAGAAGAAGCAATCTATCATGTATTAAGTATTACATTTCCTCAAATTTTGCTTTGGGTTAAAATAAGTAATTTCATTACTAATACTGATCAATTTTTTTCCTGCTTTGAATCAGCCAACATGAAAGTAGTTTTGACATTATTGATTTGCAAAAAAATAATAATAATAAGATGGTTAAGTGACAGATGTTGGATGCTGAGGCAAGAATGAGAAATCCATGTTAGAGAATCTTGTTGTGCTAGAGAAACAAAAGTAATTTTACTTATGTTATAATCTTTTCATTGTTGACTTCATTTCTGGCAGCTGTTACACTTTATATATTTTGTTGGTCACAAAGGTGTTATGCATCATGCATCCACAGTTTAATGTTTCGCTAGTAACTCGGCAAACAAAACAGATGTCTTCCATGACCATAGTTTGTGATTAGGAAGTAAGATAAAGAAAACATTCCTACACAGAGTGTACAGAACATTGTGTTCCCCAATGAAAGGTTACCTCGTTAATATCAAATGATTGTATTTGTGTGACTTATATTATGCTGGTCTTTGAGAGAATTCTGTACTCAAA